TTTCTTTCTTCGGTATTTGCAACTTCGTTTTTTTTTTCAGGGCGGCTTGTTGGGGCTGCCCCAACCCCCTGTCTCGCCGTGGGAGCATCGTGCACAGCTCTGTTTAGAATCCCACGCTACGCTGGCACTAGGACGGTGCTCAGGCACTTCTAACATGGAGAACAGACGCCGTTTTGAGCTGCACCTCCATAGTGAACAGACGCTCGGGTTTGGTGAAGCATTTCCTCTATCACCGTACTATGGTTACCGCGCTAGTGTTCGCGAATTGTTCACATATTGAACACAATTTGACATTTTCAAAATCTTATCATGGCCTACTATGAACACAATTAAAAACCCTTTTCCTTCCTAAATAGAGGATTCTTTCTTCGGCCAAGTTGTAGAACTGCTGAAAATATGAAATATTGCCCAAGATATCAAATTTTGATGTCTAAAGGCCCACGCACATTAGATCCGGATCGGACGCGTTGCGGCAAAATGATAGATAAATCTATTGTCTAACTGTCAAATTTAGGTCAACGCAACGCAAACGGATCTAATTTGGGTGGCCCTTAAAAGTTTTGGAGATATGAACAATTTTCTATGGCTACTCCTTTAAATTTAGTTCTTAATTATTAACTTTTCATATAATAATTAGTTCCCCTTCCCCATATGTCTCAAATTGTAAAGCATCGTCAAACCACCTCCCCTTTCCCTTAATGAGTGACGCAATAAATGGATGTCCCCTAAGTTTCAGAAGTCTAAAATAGATCCCTGAAACCAAAACCCGTCCTTAAAAATTAGATTCTTTAAATTACAGAGGCCGAAATTGTTCCACATAATTTACATAAGACGAACAATGTTTATTATAAGCTACAGAAGCTGGAAACCGTTTCGAACAAGATTTAAAAAAAAACTAAATGCTGTACTAAGAAGATTAAAAAACCGAAAATCGTTTCTATTAAAAAATAGTAGAAGCTGAAAATATTGCAGACAATTGATTCTTAAAATTGCAAAAGTACAACAAAGTTTCTGAAACTGGAAATAGATGCTCCGATCCGAAAGCCGGAAAACCGTTCCTAACAAGTTGCAGTAGAAATAAGAAATTGGCCTCCCTAGTACGAATCCAACAGCATCAACAAGCAACTTTATTACTACTAACTCACTTCGCCGATGCATCTATATCGATTTTTATTTTTATCTAAGCTTCATGGTAAGGAAGTAAATTTACGTCAGACAGTCACAATCGCCTTTGGCGGTTGCTTGTGTGTCCAACGCAAGACAACCAGCACGGAAACCGGCTTATGCACGGCGGTCTTAAATTTCTCGCATCTTGCGGCGCTCTCGTTGCATCCGAAATCTCGTTTTACATTGGATTGGCCCCACTCGCTCGCGTTACTGCTGCAGGCTGACGCTGTCTAGCAGATGTGGCTAGATATGTCATTTTGGGACGGATCCTCCGTTGGGAAATCACGCACCCAATCGGACATGTGTGTGTGTGTGCTTCGTCGGAAAAAAACTTCTTCATGTTCACAACAAATCGCAATCCAAAACAGACAAACGCACGATACGACGGTTTGCTATGTGGTAATGTAGTTGTGGTGTGTGGCTGCAATCAATCATGCGAAAGAAAGAAAAACCGCGCTTATGCATGATTGGAAATTACCTCGACGTGAGTGTGAATCCAACGAACGCGATGAAACATGGGGATGGGAAGGTGGGAAAATAATTAATGATTTATTTCAAACTTGAAAATTGGGGGGTTTTTTTTCTCAGATGTGAAGACCACGAGCATTTCCTGCACTTCCATCAGTTTCGACTTCGGACGCGCTCATTAGGGATTATGAAAAAAAAATGGAGCAATTTGACGGCCATTATCATGGGAAAAATATGCGCCGATGAATCGGTATAATAGGAGCAGGAAGATTTATTTCTATAGCAATGCATTTGAATGGAATGTTATGATGGGAAAACACGTGTTCCGATAACCGATTCGATGAGTACACCCAACCGGGAAATGTAAGATTCTATTACAGAGTCGCATGAACAGCTTCTGTAATGTGCTCGCCGGAAGAGTTTTTGAATAATTTTGTAATTTTTATTTTCAAACAAAGTTTGTTTCCCAAAATGCATTTGTATTTAGAAAATTATCTCGTGAAAGATTTATACAAAAATATTCATTCTGAAAAAACTTGCTTGTACGCTACAGTTCATTGCAAGAACTGCCATTACATTTGTTCTAGGAAACGTATGCAGACAATGTAATAAATCCAACTGTACATTGCATGTAAGAGACTTTTGCTATGCGTGTAGAATGTTTTTAAGTTTGAGAAAGAACGTGGAGATGTGTAGTACCTCATGCATAGGTTCAGTTCTATTGTATGGAATAATCAACTGTGTGAAATTTTTATGAGTTGTTTCCAGAGCCTTATTATGTGGAATATTTGGAATATTTAGCACCATTTTAAAGATTTCGATAATTCACGATCATCAATAGAAAAAAGACACATCTGCTTTTGTAAAACAAAATTGGCCTTTTCTCACGAACCGAAGCTCGCCCAGTTGACTTATACATAATATTATGTATTATGTATGTGAAAAATTTTTGCGCAAATCGATTGAGTAGGGTAGAGAACTACTTCGGCCTAAGCGCCCATTTTGGGCCTATCAAGCAGAGAACATTATATAAATCCATGATTTCGGCTTTAACAGGTAAATTATGCATTTGGTACGATACTTTAGTTCAAATGCTACCGAACGAAGTCAATAATTTTCGCACCCAATATTCTCACAAACAAATGAAGCGCTCCTACCGAATCAACTTTTAACTTCAACCGATGGGCCGAAGTGAATTTATTGGTGTTTCAATGGCGTTTAAATGCGTTAGGCCGAGTTAAGAATCCGTAGGCCGAGTTTGGCGTCCCTTTATCAAATCTTACGGTACGTACGGAAAGGTAAATAAATTTAAAAGCCATCAGTAATAATAACATTCCGGTTGGTGCTAAACTACGCAAGATTAAGTGCGGGTTGTGCTTAATAGGCTGGAAATGGGGTAGTTAACGAGCAGGAACGAATATCTCGATACCTTGGTATTGGTATGGATGAGCCGGACATAAGAGGTAAAATACCAAAAAATAATACCAAAAAAATGTTCCCACAATACCATTCCAATATCAAATTATGATAATGCAATAGCAAAACAATACCACCCAGGTATTCTTTTGGTGTCCAAATATCAATTTATGGTATTTACAAAGTATTTTCCATGTAATTTTTTGGTATTATTCTTTGGTATTTTACCTCTTATGTTATGCTGATTAATACCTAATTTTGGTATCAGTTCAGAATTAGGTATTCATTAGTTATTTTCTCTTGCTCGGGTATTTAGGTTGCCAGTTATGCTAATATCAGGGGGGCCAGTGAATTTTTATCTTAAAATTCCCAGTTTTCCCGGTTCAAATCTCAAAATATTCCCGGTTTTTAATATTTAGTAAAAAATAATTATTGCAATATCACGATATTTTCGAGGTACTTAGAATCAATTTGAATAACTTTTTTTAGGCTCGAGTCTTCTTATGATTGTATGTTTTAGTATCGACGCACCCCTCGATCCACCCAGCAACAACATCGAACGCCTAAATTCAACACTGGATTCCGGTCACCATCCGTAGAAGAACGAGTAAGCGAAAGAGAGTAGACAAGTGCGTGCATAAGAAGAAACACAAATTAGAAAAAAGCAAATTGTTCTTTTTCGAAGAATAAAAGTGGTATTTTTCCATCCCAATAATTTGTTTTTAATACAGTCCGTTAATTCCGAAAACATTTGGTCCTTCGAGAACCGGAATTTTGGACTATGGAGAAATTGATCAGCAAAAGAAGTGCTTTGATTGCTCGGGTGAAAGCAGAGCTTTCGGTCGTGAAAGACCTCCATCATCGGAATCCATCACGGAGCGAGGTTATGGATCGACTGGACCAGCTCAACCAACTAGCGGATAGTTTTCGTGCTACTCAAGATGAAATCGAAGAACAATTGGAGAATCCTACAGTAGTTGCTTCAATGTTTGACGTGCGGGAGGAGTTTTTTGGAGCCTACTACAAGGCGAGAAATATTCTCGAGGATTTGGTCGAGGATGTCGAAACGACAGTGAGTCAACAAACGGTAGCCGATTCTACAGACTGGAAGGAAGCTATGAAGCTGCTTATGGAGACGCAGCGGCAAATGTTGATCAACCAGTCGGCGATTTTCAAAAACACCAACAGCCTAGCGGGACCGGTACAGCGTGGTGAACAATTCAACGATGGTGAGATGCCGAGAGTCGGTCAGGTGTCGAATGGTTCACACCAACTAAACGTGAAGTTGCCAGCAATAAACATTCCACCTTTCAATGGAGACCGCAAGAAGTGGATGACATTCAAGGATATCTACGTGTCTACCATTCACGACAGTTACGATCTCACGGATTCCTTGAAAATGCAGTATCTTTTCTCCTACCTGGAAAGAGATGCGAAGAAATTAGTCAACAAATTCACCATCTCTAGTGCCAACTATACTAATGCGTGGGAGACGCTCATTAGTCACTACGACAAGAAGCGTTACACTGTGTTTGCGTTGGTACGTGAGTTCATGGACCAGCAAGTCGTGACACAAGCTTCGCTGCAATCACTAAACAAACTCGTGATGACACTGGATGAGGTTGTCCAACAGTTGGATGCGTTAGGAGAGGAATACCAAGGCCGCGATCCGTGGCTGATTTACATGATGCTAGAAAAGCTGGACAAAGATACCCGCGCTGCCTGGTCGGAGAAAGCTGTTGACAACGAGCATCCAACGTTTGAGGAGCTTATGGCGTTTGTGAAGAAGCGGTGTGAGATGCTGGAAACCTGCTCAGCATTCTCGAAGAAAGCGGAAGTGAACAAAAAAGAACAAGTGAAAATGGAAGTGAGTGAGAAAAAATTGAAGACATTAGTGACAACTACAATCTACCAAAAGTACGCGAAGTGTTCGTGAAGAATTCAAGAAGATGGATCTGCAGGAAAGAAGAGAGTTGGTACAACAGGCGAAGCTGTCTTTCAACTGCTTACGGGCTTCACATCCAGCGAAATCGTGTCCCTCGAAATCAGTGTGCCATACACCGGACTGCAAGCAGCGGCACCATACGTTGCTGTGCCCAAAGGCGAGCAAGGTGAAGGAAACACTAACGACAGCAAGCAACCCAACCAAAGATCCACCAACTGACGGTGAGGAACAGGCGATTTCGTCGCTCATGGCAGCAGTTGAGAAGCAACCATCGATTCCGGTGTTTCCAACAGCTGTAGTGCAGGTGCGAAAGGAAGATGGTACGTTTGCTCGTGCTAGGGTACTTATTGATTCTGGTGCACAGGCATCGATGGTCACGGAGGATTGCCTACGGAAGCTAGGACTCGTCAGGCGTTATGGGAAGCTAGTGGTTACTGGTATCGGACAGCAAGCTGCAGGTACCACTCGCGGAATCGTCACGCTGCATCTTGCATCTCGATTCAACGAAGTCATTGTGATCTCTACAAGTGCGTACGTCCTTGGCAAGTTGACGTCGTCTCTTCCATCGCAAAGGTTCAACAGCGGAAACCTGAAGCTTTTGGAAAACGTCAGGGAAACCTTCAACAAACCTGGACAAATTGATGTGATTCTTGGATCAGATGTCTTTCTTGCTCTCTTGGAGGGAGGCCAAGTCAAGGACAACAGCGGCCAAACGGTGGCCCATGCGTACTGTTTTCGGATGGATCGCAGCGGGACGATACGACGAAGCAGAGACCATGCAAGGGAATCATGGCATTGTGAGTTTGCATACGAAGATGGATCTAAATCGAACGCTGCAGCAGTTTTGGGAGTACGAGGAGATAAACAAGCCACCTCAGTTCACTCCCTTGATCATTTCAATTCTACCACCCAACGCGATAGCTCAGGGCGCTTCGTCGTAAAACTGCCTTTTGACGATTCGAAGCCCGCCCTCGAAGAGTCCCTATCAGCTGCGATGAAGAGGCTCTTTGCTATGGAGAAGCGATTTGCTTCAAACCCGGAATTCCGGAAGGAATATGTCAGCTTCATGCGCGAGTATTTGGAGCTTGGCCATATGGAACCAGTTCCGGCAAATCAAGTGGTAAAAATTGGTTCCGAGCACTACTATTTACCGCATCACGCGGTGATCAGAGTGGACAGCAGCACAACAAGACTTCGCGTCGTTTTTGATGCTTCTTGTGCCACTTCTACTGGAATATCGCTCAACGATCGGTTGTTGGCGGGGCCCAACATCAACGAGGATTTACTATCAGTGCATTTGCGGTTTCGCTCGTACAAGGTGGCGTTTTGTGCGGACGTAGCTAAAATGTACCGCCAAGTGGTAATGCATGAGGAAGACCGTGATTTTCTGCGTATCGTATGGCGTGAGGACTCTGAGAAGCCAGTGGAACACTATCGTCTTTCTATGGTGACGTACGGTACGAAAACCGCACCATACCTTGCAATTCAAGCGATGAGAGAATCTACCATAGGATATGAAACTACGCATCCGGAAGCAGTAAAGCGAATCATTCATGACTTCTATGTGGATGACGCATTGTCGGGAGCAGATAATGAAGAGGAGGCTATGTGCATCAAGGAACAGATCACCGAAATTCTATCGAAGTCTGGTTTCGAGCTTAGGAAGTGGACATCGAGCTGCCCCAAACTGTTGGAGAATGAAGTGTCAGAATCAGTTCCAGTGAAACTTTCGGATGATGCGGATGTAGTTAAAGCGTTGGGAATCTACTGGTACCCGAGCGAAGACCAGTTTGGATTCAAGGTTAACTTTTCGGCTGATAGCGTTAACACCAAACGTCAGATGATTTCGGATGCGTCAAGATTGTTTGATCCTTTTGGCTGTGATAGTGAAAATCAAGATTTTGTATCAACAATTGTGACTGTACGACATCAACTGGGATGATGCTCTACCGAAAGCAGTCGAGTTAGAGTGGGTCGAAGTGAAGCAAAGCTTGACACAACTGCAGACTATCCGGATTCAAAGGTTCTTGGCCCACCATCGTGGTAAGATTCAGTTGCACGGATTTTCAGACACTTCAGAACAAGCTTACTTTGCTGTAGTTTATTCACGATGCGTTGACGACGAAGGAAACATCACGATTGTTCTAGTTGCTGCGAAATCACGTGTGGCACCCATTAAGCAAGTCACGTTGCCATGATTGGAGCTAAATGGTGCCCTTTTGTTGACCGAACTTATGAAAAAGATAACTGAGGCTCTACCGCATTTGGAGATTGAACATTATGCTTGGACCGATTCGACTATTGTCTTGCAATGGCTATCATCGCATCCTCGTCTATGGAAAACGTATGTTGCAAACAGGACGTCTGCCATACTGGAGTTTCTGCCTCGTGATCGCTGGAATCATGTTACCAGTGAATCAAATCCTGCTGACTGTGCTTCACGCGGGATCTCTCCGGTTGAACTAGTGAACCATCAGTTATGGAACGGAATGGCTAAGCTGCGACGAGTCAACATGGCAGCTGAATACAACGGAACTTGTACGTGACGACGAGATACCTGAGTCCAGAATTTTAAAATCGATGCATGCTACGTCGATTCCACTTCGAGAAAGCTACGCTCTTGAACATCGGCTTTGTGAAAGACGTTCCAGCTTTACCTTGATCGTACGTACTTTAGCGTGTATCAACCGATTCGTTCACAACATCAAGGCAGATCTGGATCTGCGACACTCCGGACAACTCATTCCAAGCGAAATCCATCAAGCAAAGTTGAAGTTGATACGCTACGCTCAACAAGAAATGTTTGCATCTGAAATTAAAATACTTCAAAATGGTAAGTTATTGTCACCAAAAAACATACTTTCTGCTTTGCACCCATTTCTAGACGCCACTGGAACGATGCGAGTTGGAGGGCGTCTGGAAAATTCAGCTCAATCGTACGAGAGTAAGCATCCTTTGATTCTACCAAAGACTCACCGTGTGACACAACTGTTGGTTCGTGAACTGCATTTGCGCAACTTTCATGCTGGACCGACATTGCTCATGGCTGTTATCAATCAACAATTTTGGATCGTTGGTTGCCAAACTGTTGTACGTGTTTCGGAACAATTTTAATTTTTAAGATTCTGAGGCTTTGACATATGTCTATAGAGTCTTAGAATATGCCATTTTTTTTAGAAATTTGTGACTTCTTAACATTTATTCTAAGAAGAAAAAACAGGATTGAATTTTTTCCAACAATATGAATCTGAAAAAAACACTCAAAATGTGGGATTTTAAAATGTTTCAAGATCCCTAATTTAGATTTTTTTTTTCGAGATTCCAGATTTGGGAAAATACAGTCCCTGGAAAATTTTATTCGATTGGAAAAAAATTCTAATAATTTGAAGAACTTTTTATCGAAATTTGAAAATTCAACGGAACTCTGACAAGAATCCCAAACTAATTCAACGATTAAGTCCTGAAGAACTCTTAGAAGAATTACAAAGGATTTGTGAGGAGAACTTCAAGGAAAGTTCCTGAAGAGAATTGTTTGCGGATTGTGAGGAGAATTATAAGGAGAATTTAAAAAGAAATATAAACATAATTTAAAGGGTTTTCTGATAATAATTTCAAAGGAATACCGAGGAAGATTCACAAGATAACTTTAAGCAAGATCTAAGAAAAATGCCGGGGTAATCGTGTTCTGAGGTAAATAAATAAAAATGCTGAAGAATTTAAATTACATTCATAAGAAAGTTTCAAGAAGATTCAGCACATAATTCCAACGTATTTCTGTGAGGAGAGTTTTGTGAAAGATCAAATAATTTCAAAGGTTTAAGATTATTAAGAGCTGAATCAACCATTTTTGAGCTGAAAAAACATGTGTTTGCTTGATAAAGCTCAAGCTGTTATTCAACTTTTAATTTTGTTTGCAATATATTAAGGTTTATTGGTTTTTCCCGGTTCTCCCGTCAAATTCCCGGTTTTTTCCCTGTTTTCCCGGCTTCTTTTTAAATTCCCGGTTTTCAAGGTTTTCCTGGTTCGCTGGCCACCCTGTAATATAATACCTGAATTTGGTAGTCACAAGTTATTTTCTCCTATTCGGGATCTCAACTAATGTGATTATATTTTAAATAAAAAAAAATTAATATGTTGCAAGATGAGTTTTCAGATAAAATTTTCAGATAACTGGCATTTTCCAAACAATTCCAATACTCACCATTCCCAGCAGCGTAGTACAATTTCACGTATTCCACGGACGTCGCACCGTCGTCAATTTCGATGCTGGCAACTGTCGTAACTCCGTCTGCGTGTCTTGATGATGGGTGCTTACCAGAAAAAATACAACCGATGACGCTATTGCTATGTCTTGTTTTCTCGGTTCTTCAATCGGACGAGCGGGGTTCTTCTTTTTAAACGGCCTGATCAATTTTCTGCCTTGCGAAAACTAAAACCAAACAAATCACGAAATCATACCGCCCCGTCTCGTCTCTTTTTTTCTTTCCTTTCTTGTTCACACGCTGACTACCTCTACAAGAGAAGTGTAACAATTTTCCGTTTCCAAACACTTTAGTATATGCAATTCTTTTCGGAAATTTCACTCACTTTCGATTTTCTGTTTTCCTTTTCACGAACCTATTCAGAGAATAAAGGATTAGCATATGCATGTGTGTCGAAAGCTATAGCTCTCTCCGTCGTCACATCTTCAGTTCAGCCATAAAATTAGCCCAAAAACTGGTTGCTATCTTCAGTGACCATAAACAACATTGCACCACTAGAAAACAAAAAAAAATAATCGTTCACACTTCGCACTCGCGCTTGCTTCAATTTCGCGTTTCTACAAAAGACACTTCATCTTTAAATTATAAGGAAAAACATCCCAAATCGCAGCGCGCACACGCACTTCAGTTGGCTTTCCACGGAAACGCACAAATCGAAGCAAAGCAAAAGAAACAGCACTTAAACATCCAACTGCTGCAAATCGCGCAATGATAATATAGAGCTGGAAAACCGCTTTCCACGCGCTTCCAATTGCACGCTACTAGTTATCATCACCAATCACCGTGGTGGGTGGCAAGCATATGATGCACGGGGAAAGCGGTAGCCAGCAGTACACGTTCGATAGGTTCACCCACGTTGTGGCGAGGATTTCCAAAGTGACGACTGCGACCAAGATGCCGACTTCAACGAGTCTTGTAGCAGCAGCAGCAACAACAACGAGCCGTCTCCACCGGGTGAGTGTTGAACGCGAACTGGTCCGGACAGCCGCACCGATAATCCAACCAGCTGTAAGGTAGGTTCGCCGCCCGTGTCGAGCTTAGGAGTATGGCTCTCCTCAGTCAAGTCAGTCAGCCGCGATAGCGTAAAACGCTGAATAAGTTCGCGATTTGAAGTTGTTGGTGAGGATGAGTGAGCATCGGCGCAGCGGGGTCTATACCCTATACAACACGTGCGATGGCTGTTGTTGTTGAAAGTATAGGCGTTGTTGGTGTGTGGCTGTAGAAGAAGCGGTAAAACGGTTACTATTAGTAAGCAATCGGTACACACGAGACATTCAGTGAGTTGGGATCAGAAATGATGGAGCATAGATGCACGGTACACTGTTAGTTGAAGTTGATTAAAACAGTTAACATATATTCAAATTGAATAATTTATCATGGTACGATTTCACACCATATACATTATCCGATTTAGGAAAAATAACAGCAAGTTTGAAATACAAACCGAATGGATAATTTTAATCTACCGGACGGTTTTCAGCCCAAGGTTCTCCGAGTTCACTAACAAAAATGTCAGAATGAGATACACAAAGAAAACAATAAAAAAAAAAATCAAGATTTAGAAGAAAAATAAAAATTTAATAAAGATGGAAAACGATGCGAGAAGATTTAGTTGCGATAAATTAAACAAGTTTTTTTTTGTAGACTGATTCGCTAGCGTAAGACTTTAATATGGTTGGAATCTAGACTTGACGCCCTCTTTGTAATTTTCAAGTTAATGTTCAGGAACTGATCATAAAAATCTGTGAAAAATTCGACATTTTTCGATTTACAGACTTGAAAAATGTAAATGGGTGGGGGGGTCATGAAATAGATGTGAAATTTGAAATATTAGTAAAAGTCACGTTAGAGCAAAACATACCTGCTTTTAACGAATTGAACCTAATTGGAGTTGGGAATGCATCCATTTCCGCCGTATACGTTAAAAGCAATTAATAAAAAGATAAATTACGATTACATTACAAATGAGGTCGACTCAAAGTTAAGATTAGTTCACTCATATTCTTGAAAACGAAGTTAACTTATAGGCTGAGTAAAACTTTCCGAGCTTTTACAGGCATTTGTTTTCTGATATGAGCAACATCTCGCTGTAGATATGAAATTAATATACCTACTTCTAGAATGAGTAAATTTTTCGTCGATTATTGTGATAAGGGAAATGGCTCTAGTAGACCTATGGATCTAAGATTGGGCCCATCGCTAAAAATCTGCTATTGATCAATTTTATCTAGATAAACGCATCCCAATTGGTCGCTATTAAAAATTTAGTCGATTGTTGAATGTATGCATGAACCCAAATTAGGGGAATTTAGGCCGACATTACATCCATTTCACCTATTCGAAAAAAAAATTATGAGGCTTACATCCCTATTCTGCATTTCGTTCGAAACGAAATTCTCATGCAAAAAAAAATTAGGAATAGGAGTATAGGAATTTCGTTTCGAACGAAATACAGAATAGGGGTGTTAGTCTACAAGTAAACTACGTTTTCTAGAGTTTGAGTAATTTAAACTTAAAGTCGATCTTGTGCCATGTAGTGTAGAAATCCGTTAGTTACTTAGTACTAGTCCTTTTACACGCCAGCAGCGGGGGAACGAGCACATCTTAGTGAGAGATTCAACTTTCAACCACCTAAATATGGAGAAATCGACAGTTTCTAAACACATAGTCCTCAAAAATTGTTCATGAATCAGGATCAAGGTTGCTGAAACGATTCAGATAGGAAGGAATATCGAAATAAATATCATCGAGAAATGGAGAGTACTGTACAACGAAGCCAAGTACGATGAATTGGCGCTAAACACTAACACTGTTGTAACGATTTTACAAATACAGTTTTAAAATAAGAGATATCAAGCAACATATTTATTACGTTTTGCAAAATAATTACACAAATAGGGGAGAAAAACACAATTTGCTGATACCAACCTTTTTGCCTTTCTCGTACACCAAGGCGGTACGAAAGGCTATGATATCACTTCAAAAACATAACCGATTTCAGTGGGTTGGTTTATTTCCTTTAAACTCCGTTATAATTGCTTATCTTTTGACAGATACGCGTATTTCGTCTACTACTTGCAGACTTCATCGGTGCCAAGTACTCAACACCACTGACCAACACAGATCAGTGACAAGTACTCAACACTCTGACACAATTTCGTTCCAAAACCCCGGAGAGACGAATAGCATATACCAATAGACTCACCTCAACGCGATCGGGAAATGTTTCTGTATGTGTGTATATATGTATGTTTGTATGTATGTATGTAAGTTCGTATGAGTGTAACCCACTCAATTTTCGCAGAGATGCCCGAGCAAAGTAAAATATCAAATTGATAACAAGTTCTATTACCCGGTTATCACTTTTTGATTACTGAATATGTTATCATTATGGTTGAATCAACAGCCAACATAACAAAAACTATAACAAAAAATTGCTCTTTGGATATCAAAAAATAACTAATTTTGTTATCATTGATAATATCTTGATAACAAATTCTGTAAGCCATACAAATTTATTGCATAAATTTCAAATCATGTTATCATTTTGATATCAAAGCCTTACGCTGATAACTAAAATATGATTAGGGATTAAAAGCACTATTTTTATTGTTTCAATGCGAATCATATTTAAAGTTTTGAACTAACCTTGCATCGTTAATAAATATATAGTGAATTTTTCATGATAACAACTGATAACAAAATTGATCAAGGCTGAGAACTAAATAAGTTATGCGATAACAACTGAAAACAAAATGAAATCTGGGATAACAAGACTTGTTATCTAGATGATATCGGGTTGTTATTCTACTTTGCTCGGGTGGCTGGTCCAGTTTGACAAATTTCAGAAGATGTGATTCAGATCTCCATCGATCGCTATTGATTTTCTCCCGATCGGAATTATGGCGCCGAAGATATGAACAAAAATGTAAATTCCAGATTCCACTGGGGAATTCGGAAAAAAAAATGATAGGGTAGAGCGCTACTTCGTCGTAATCGTCCATTTCCGTTCTATCGAGCAGAAAACATAAGCACAGACAAACAGACATAGCTCTTAGAAGAAAATTCTTAAAAAAAATATCGTCAAGCGTATTTTGCATGCGCACTAGCACCATCTATCATCCACATTCCCAAGCATTGATGTGCATCTAGAGCATTCCTCGTTCATGCCATTTTTTCACTAGTTGCTTTTCCCTCGTTCTGTCAACGCGTCGGCAGATGGAAGTCAGTGATGTCGGTTCTACTAAATTTTCCGTAGATCTATAGAATTGATTGAATTCTGTAGAAATACGGATCGGTAGGAAAAATTCACAGAAGCTAAGACTTTTTTTAGGGATTTGTTTCGTTTGTTTAGTGTTCTTTGGCTTTTTTCTGGAAACAAGTTTTTAAACGAGGTAATGCACCACCGCTCATCACTTTAATGTTTGTACAGCAAAAAAAATATAATATGTATCAATCAATGAAATTCATGGTGAAGTATTGAACATCAATAACTGGTTAAAGGGGTAAAAGTTGATATAATATTACAGTCATCAACATGATTTGTTCTCGAATTTTGTGTTAATCGTGCAGCGTAAAGAGCCTGAATTGATAAAGAGACGACATGTCAAAATTGGAACAATCGATTGTCTGTCAAAGTCATAGGAAAAGTCATTCCAATCGAGCAGAAGACCTGTCAAATAGATAAGATGTCGCCTCTTTATAAATTCAGGCTCTTTAGTGCAGCGTAATATTAGGAACGGAATCACTAGTGCAGCACTTCCGATGTAATATTCAACAACTATTTTTTCTGTATTCGTCAGATCTGGTGTGTGTCTCCAGTGGGATGCCTTGACCACTTATCATTTTCAAGAGCTGACATCAACTACCTAGACGTGAAAAAGAACTGGCATCACTGATAAGTTCAAAATTTGGTGGCTTGCTCAATGTTTCAGTGGCGCCACCATGACAAATGCAAACACATTCTCAACTAAAACATTATTTTCGATGAATGTGATTGTGAGTGTTATGTCTGTTTGTCTGTGACATAAGTATAATCAATGATTTCACCGTGCACAAATCGGATACGTTTGTACCGGTGCGTTAGTTTACAAACTACAACACAAAGCCGAGCGTATTGTGTGCAAATTTACACTCATTGTTCTGAAAACAAAAGAAGCGCTCCTAGCTAGGGTTACGATATGGTATCCTAAAGGAGGACATTTCCTCCTTTTTGAACAATTTTTCTACATCCTCCTTTTGCCCAAAAATGTCCTCCTTTTTAATACTTACATTTTTATTCCAGTAACACATTCATAAAATTGTTTTCCAAGAGCGTTGTTTACAGAGCATATGAGTTTAATTATGTCGTAACCTCATCTTATATAGCAAATGCCATTCGATAATGGGATCAGGAATATACTACAGCTGTCAACCCTCCCACATTTAGGCTGTGGTTCATTTGGTGAATATTCACTTTAATTTGACAGACGAAAAAATTTAAAATGAACCTGCTATTCTACCAGACTTATTTCTGACAGACCAGGGATAAATTTTGACAAACAATTCCTTGAAATTCAGATAATCAACAATAGAGAGATTTTCTAACACTATAATTAATTTTCAAAGTGTCAAATTTAAGTGAAAATTCACCAAATCTCGATTACGTTTTCGAAGGGACGTATCAGCTTTTGTAAACAATGCATTTGATCGTCGATTTGGCGTAACTGGTAGCTTACCCACGCATACTAACACCACCATCAAGTAGGGGAAATTTTCTTCTACCTGATAGTGGTGTTAGAGCCTTCCAATTAGGAAATTAAATATCATCTAATGTTGAAATTTCGAAAACATATTAAAATGCTGGGGGCAAGACAGCTATCGATCATGAGTAAAACCGAAGCTAATTTTGAGTAACTCTGAGTAACTCACGCTGCTCAATGTCTTATATACTCATAGCAACCTGATTGTTATATTGAAAATTATGTTGAAACCGATGC